TTTTTTTCATTTTTGAAAACCACTTTTTCAGCCTTTCACTCCGTCACTCGGGCTGCAGTGCAGCGGCCTGATCTTGGCTCACTGCAACCTCTACCTTCCAGGTTCAAGGGATTCTCCTGCCTCAGCCTCCTGAGTAGCTGGGACTACAAGCACGAGCCACTACACCCAGCTAATTTTTTTGTATTTTTAGTAGAGATGGTGTTTTATCATGTTGGCCAGGCTGGTCTTGAAATACTGGTCTCAAGCCACCCACCCACCTCGGCCTTCCAAAGTGCTGAGATTGCAGACATGAGCCACCATGCCTGGCTTGTTTGTTATGGTCTTAATAAAATTTGGAAAATTTTTGAAAACAAGAATAAAGGACACTGGGCACAGTGGTTCACACCTATAATCCCAGCCTTTGGGAGGCCAAGATCGGAGGATTGCTTGAGCTCAGGAGTTCCAGGCCAGCCAGGGCAACACAAATAGACTCTGTCTCTCAAAAAAAAAAAAAAATCCTAAAAGGTAGAAGAAACCCAAGCATCCATCAACAGGCAATGGAAAAACCAAATAGGGTTATACACCCAAGGGAATATCATGCAGCCTTGAAAAGGAAGGAGACCCTGCAGAAGACCCTGCTACAACCTGGAGGAATGTTAGGACATTATGCTCATGAAATATGAGAGTCACAAAAGAACCAATCCTGTCACCTGTAAAATAAGATTATTAAAAACAAAAACAGAAGGGGCAAATATACATGAACACACTTCTCTGAGGTCCCTAGAGGAGTCAAATTCATAGAGACAGGAGTGGATGGAGGTTACCTGGGACTGGGGGAGGGGCAATGGGTTAGGGCTGGGGTTGGGCTTAGGGTTAGAGTTGGAGTTTAACGGGGACAGAGCTTCAGGGCTGCAGGGTGAGAACGTTCTGGAGATCAGCTGCACAACAATGTGTGTGTGCTCAACATGGCCGCCCTGTACACTTGGAAATGGTGAAGGAGGTAAATGTGATGTACTGTCTTTTGTAGCACAATTCAGAAATTGGTCCAAGAAGAAAAGGCTCCTCCAGCTCCATCCACCCCAGTTCAACCACAGCAGCCCTCCTCCACTCAGGCCTGCTCACCCCGAGCCCCAGGCTTGGTCCCCAGAGCCCAGGGTGACCTCACTTGCTGCCCAGCCTCTGCCTGTCCCACCCCACTCCCCACCACGCCCATGTGCCTCCCCTCAGGCTGAGCTTTCTGGGGTTCTCCTGCCTGTACCCTGCCTGGCTTCCCACTGTCGTCCTGGGGCTCTCAGGGAAGATGTCACCCTCATGGGACCTTCCTGCCCCCTGCTAATCGCCCCCCAGTTCCCAATCCCTCCTGCTTCATCTTGCTAAGTTAGGAAAATTGTGGGCTAAATTTTGGAGGAGACTCACTGTCAGGTCCTTAATTCATTGATTCACTTCAAAGTTAAAGCCAATCAGGAGCTTTTGAAGCCACTCCATGATATTTTTCAGGTTGGAACTGTTTTGGTTTTGGAGACAGAGTCTCATTCTGTCAGCCAGGCTGGAGTGCAATGGTTCACTTATGGCTCCCCGCAGCTTCGGACTTCCCAGGTGCAAGCAGTCTTCCCACCTCAGCCTCCCAAGTAGCTGGGACCACTGGCATGTGCCACCACACCTGACTCAATTTTTATTTTGTGTAAAGACATGGTCTTGCTCTCTTGCCCAGGCTGGTCTCCAACCCCATGGGCTCAAGGGATCCTCGCACCTCAGCCTCCCAATGTGCCTGGATTACAGACATGAGCCACTGCACTCTCCCTCCTTTTTTTTTTTTTTTTTTGAGACAGGGTCTCACTCTGTCACCCGGG